CCATACATGCAAATACAAAGACAGACCACCAAGAGTGTCAAGTATGTACCCAGAAGGGAGCTTCGAGCTGAACTCAGGCCATTTCCACAGTTACCAGATGCTCTGTGTGAGTGTGTGTGTGTGTGTGTGTGTGTGTGTGTGTGTGTGTGTGTGTGTGTGTGTAACGAGTCTTTCTCTGTACCACCAGCTCTCAATAACATGGAGTCTAATTATTAGTTAAGAAAGTTTGGCCTTGGCGTCTGGGATAATACCATCTTTAGAGGACCCTGAGAAAATTGGAATAATGGTTAAGTCCTGGGAGAGCCAGCTGTATCATCTGTTGTCCAGGCTCTGTGTGACGGGAAAGTGCAGGGCTTCAGATAAGCTGGACCATCCCAGCTAGCAGCTTTGAAGTTGTTTTGGGTGCAGAATTTTGAGGAAACAGTAACAAAGGCATTCTGAGAGGCTGGATCACATGGCCTACTTGCCTTCATTGGTGTCTGGTCCTTTTTCTCTGAAAACACACAAATTTTTAAAGGTAACATGCATATCTGCATTAACACAAGTATGGGATGTGCAGTGTGCACAAGTCAAAAATGATTTTCTTTTTTATGAGCAGACAAAAGGCATCTGTCAACTTTATAAGTCCATTTGGACTTTATAAACAAACTGTAATATAAATCTTCTATCCATGCCATATGAAAGGTTGACATGTAATAATAAATCATGAAGACTCTGTAGCCAACAAGATTTATCAAGTCTCCTCCAGTCTTAGAGCTTTTCCTATGTCATCAGCTTATATGCCACCCGTCCTGTAGTTGCTCCTGGCTTCCTCAGGTCTCCCCTGATCAAATCTGATCTTTTTTAATTTTGAAGAGATCCATAGCTTTTTGTTTCCAGTGGAAACAAAGGCATATCCTGTCTCCCAACATCACACATATCACATATCCTGGCTTCCATTTTAAAGTTAAGACATCCCTAAATTATATAAACTGGTTTAGTTCGATGGTTTCTTCTACAACCCAATATCTCTCAGCAGCTGTCATTGACACAACAGCATTCAAAACATTCAGAGTCAACAAAATACCATACAGGATCCAGACGCCCATCCTTATGTGGCTTATTTGTTTTATATTACATTTCTCTTTATTTAAAGACTTTATTTTTTCTAAATGATTCTTTATGACTGTCCATACCCATTTTTTACTGTATGTGTTTAAGGGTTTTTTTCAGTCTGTACCACTTTACTGTGCCTCCTCAGAGCACTGAGCCAAGTTTTAAACCCACCTTGAGGCTCTGCTTAACACATGATGACTGGCTCTGCCTCCTGCTCTCTGTGAAGAGCCAGCCTTAATCCCACAGTCTGATGGTGAATGGTGTTTAACCAGAAGCTGCATTTAACCGCACTGGCTCTGGGAAGTTGGTGGGCTGTGGCAAGTGTTTTGACTTAGCAGAGTTTCTACTTAGCATGCCAGCTACTCAAGTGCTCGATATACAACAGATCCCCACCTCTGTCCACTATGAGCACCAGGTTACTCGGATACCATGTCTGTTTGTTTGTTTCAGCTTTCTCAGGACCTATGTGGAAATATGTGCCCAGACATTGGGCGCGCCATATGTAATTGCCATATGTAACTTGTAATTGCCATATGCCCTCTCCATACTGCCCATGCTGCTGCTTCCATATCTGACTGGCAACTCTGCCTTCTTCCCAGAATTCTCTCTGTCTCTGGAAGTCCCACCTGTACCTCCTGCCTAGCTATTGACCATTCAACTTTTTATTACACCAATCACAGCAATACATTTTTATACAGTGTACAAATATTCCACAACATATACGTGTCTGTATGAGTCTGTGTTTGTGTGTATGGTGTGTGTGTCTGTGTATGTGTGTATCTCTGTATAGTGTATGTGTACATGTGTGCATATGTATCAGTGTCTCTCTGTGTGTGGGGTGTGTGTGTATCTGTATCAGTATCGCTGTGTTTCTTAGTGGGACTGAGCTGGATTCCAGACCCTTAGTTAACAAGAGCTTCTCAGCCTTTTACCTGAGATGGGGTGAAGTGAATTATGTCTAACTCCATTGATTTCCGAGACCCTTCTTAGCACATAGACAAGAGCTGTTACATGGGAAGTTCTTGCTAATCCTGCACTCTTATGCAGCTTGTCCTGGCACAGTCTGTACTTTATCAAGTCACTTCTTATTTACCGCTATCTTAGCTACTTTTCTAGTGCTGTGACAAAGCACCATGACCAGAGCTACTTAGAAAAGAAAGCATTTAATTGTGGGCTTGTTTTTGAGGGTCCATGACCCTCATGGTAGGTAGCATGACAGTAGACAGGCAGTCGTGGTGCTGGAACAGTAACTGAGAGCTTATGTCAGAGACAGAGACAAACTACCACAAGGCAGAGAGTCAACTAGTGTGGCTTGGGCTTTTGGAACCTCAAAGCCCACCCTTAGTAATGTTAGACCCTCAGAAAACTCAGGCCTCCAGGGTCTCAGCCCAGGACCTTGGTCACCCCAATCACCAGGCAGATTCAAAAGCTTGCTGCAAACTGCACAAGGCTTTATTGTTGTTTAACGATCTAACCCCATGTTAGCTCGGGTCTTTCACCCACCCGCCATAGTGGATGTCTAGCAAAGAC